TACAATATGAAACGGTTTAATACAATACACCTCTCAATGTATTAACAGTTAGTTCCAGTCTTTTTCATATGATTTCTCGTGTGAATTCATATATATTTCGCACAAAATCTATTGTATGCCAAATATATCCCAGTGTTTGCTCTTCTTTTGTATGTGTGTTGTGTTTATGTGAGAAAAAATTGTTTATTGAAATTTGATCTCATTTTCTCTCAATTTAATCATCGCTTCTCTCTCTGTGTGTGTCTCTCATCCACAAGATATCCATAACTTTTTCAACAATATCTGGTAAACTTTTTTCTTATTTTCTCTCTCTCTCTCTCTCTCTCTCCACTTTAGGTCTAATTCTTTGTATGCTTTTGGTATTAGTTTTTTTCTTTAGTAAAAAATCCGTTTCGCTTATAAAAGCAAAGTCTCTCTCACTTTCTTTCACTAACTCTCTTATCAATACTCGTCTATTGTTTTGGCACTTATTTGATTGATTCGTGTGTATATAATATGGAAAATACTAATAATATTTTTGGTTTTGTTTGACAATAAGCGAAAGTTAACTTCTCGGTCAAAAACACTGTACTAATACTTTTACCATATAGTTTTGTTTTGAGTGCTCAAAAATTTAATTATTAATAATATTTTGTATAAATAACTTAACGGTTGATAAGAAGCGCGTCTATTGTTTACAGCGATTAGCGGAATATCTTGTGAACGAAATTAAGGTATTTGTCTAATAGTTATCGCATTTTTATTTGACATTTAAATACCCAAATTCTGGACTCAAAATTAATTAAACACACAGTTTTATCATTCGTGTCATATATTTTGTATACATTATTCTTGTGTTTCTTATAATTATAGCAATTTATCTCATTTTCTTTATGTTTGAATAAATTTGCGGGAAATTTATGTATAAATTATATCCCAAACAATGACAGAAAAACAATTATATTTATACAGTATATGCCATATATCATAATATCCAGATGATAACGTATGTAGTTATGTAGTTAACTGTTTATTTATGGCATAAATAGTTTATTAAAAGTGTCCAAACAATTACTCCCTATTAATCATTACATTTTTCGCGGTTAACAAAACTCGCTAAATTGTTTTATTAAAACTTTTTACTATGTAACTTATTATACCATGTGTTTGTGGCCCATACTTTGTGTGTTTGATAAATTAATCACAACTTTTAAACAGTTAAGACTTAACTTTACTTTCAAAGGTCATAGTTGTGAGCGGAAAAGTGATCGGTGATTATATTAATATATTAGGGAAATACTTTTTAGTATTTTGAGTGCTTATTAATATGTATGTTATTTATTTGAATATATGTTAATTTAATTAATTCTTTAATTACATAAGTCGTTAACATATACATGTATATTTTAAAACTGAATGCAATTTAGATTCAACCCACTTATCAATACAAATTTTAATTAATTTAAAAAACAAATATATTTTAGATAACTATAAAGAAAATGTCATCATGGTTTATTTAATATAATTATTGAAAATATGCTAATTTGTAACCAAAAAATTTACCAATGACATTTCAAGAATGTCAAATAAATATTTTATGAATATATTGAATGGTTTAGTAAAAATTAATTAAACTTTAAACGCTTAATTTCATATATTATAATTTTTAATTATTGTTTTCCATGAAAACATTTCTAGTAATGCATTACATAACAGTTAATAACCCCTAAGAACTAACCTTCATATTTATATATCAGCATAATATTGATAATGGATGAAAAAAAACAGCATTAAAAGCACATCTTAAGCGAACTTCACTTAACATTAATCTCAATTATATTCACTTTTAGGGATAATAACGATATTAAGGCGAAGAAGAAGAGGCGATAGAAATTATTTCTTCATCAAAACACACATTTCTTTTCCAATCTCTTAACGCATATATATTTCAATGGGAATAAAAAGTGTGAATAATTTGTGCGCTAAAAGCGCTAAATTCTAACATAAAAAACAACATACAGTGAAAACACTAAACTACTGGAAAAACACGATAAGTAAAGTGCCCTCACAATGGCTGGTATGGTCTCCTCATCGGCCGATCCATCACAACACCAAATGATGACAACGGCCTCAACCATTGGGACCGTAACCACAGCCATATCGGTGCTCAACACGACGGCAATGACCACAAACAGTACGATACGGGACGAGAATCTGGCGCTCATAGAAGTGGCCACTTTGGGCACACTATTCGTGCTCATCGTGTTTGGCAACTGTTGTGTGCTGTTGGCGTTGGCCCTGCGGCCGCTCAAAATGACCCGAATGTATTACTATCTGCTCCACCTGTGCATCTCCGACCTGATCACCGGCTTCTTCACAGTACTGCCGCAGTTGGCGTGGGATATCACGTACCGCTTCAACGGGGGTAACATACTGTGCAAAGCGATCAAGTGCACGCAGATTCTGGGGCCCTACCTGTCGTCGTACGTGCTGGTGGTGACGGCGATCGACCGGTATCAGGCCATATGTTTCCCGCTGTCCAACTGCTCATGGACACCCCGTCGGTCAAAGTTGATGATAGCGTGCGCGTGGATCATCTCGATCGTTTGCAGCGCTCCCCAGGCGTTCTTCTTCTCCTACCAGGAGATACCCCACTTGACCGGTGTCTACGACTGTTGGGGCACTTTTCCCCAACCTTTCGGCGAACGTATTTATGTCACGTGGTATGCGGTCAGCGTCTTCTTCGTGCCGCTGGCGGTACTCGTGTTCACTCATTTCTATATCTGTCGCGAGATTTGGGTCAACGTTAGCCTCAAACGCAAGACCGACAAGAATCGCGAGAAACAGTTCAACGATTACAATAACAGCAAACAACTCACAGCCAATGGTCAGCCCAATAGCTATGGCAGCGCCGCCGCCGGTGGGCCCCCGACCGCTGCCGACGCCCGCTATAAATCGCTATCGAAATCTCGGAGGTGTCTGTTGATTAGCTTCGATCGGGTCTATAGACTGGCCGCCCGCAGACCGCCGACGGCCGCCGCCGACTCGTACGGCACACAATCGTCGCTCAATAACGACACCCAATGCACCGATTGTACGCCCGGCGCCGTCGGTCCCGACGATGACGCGACAGCGCCGCCGGTGGCGGCCGTACGCCAGACAATCGGCCCAAACACTGTGTGATCACATTCAATGAGTCGATGCACAACTCGAGCCCACGAGTGAATACTGTGAACAGACTGTCGAGGGCTAAGATTAAGACCGTGAAGATCACTGTTGTGGTCATATTGTGTTACATCACGTGTTCGTCGCCCTTCATATTTGTCCAGTTGTGGGCCTATTGGGTGCCCAGCGCTCAGAATTCGGACTTTTGGGCCGGTATGTCATGCCTTTCACTTTCATACATAGTTATTGTGATTTTATTTTCGTATAAAAAATTGCTCAAAATTGTAGTGAAATTTTTTTCACTTAAGATTGTTTCCGATTTATTTGACACACATTTTGACGCGAGAAATGAAATGACTTTAATATCATTTTTTATTTGCTAAACCATTAAAGAGATGCCTTTGAGAAAACAATTCCGTATAATCTCTCACTCATTCCTATGGTCTGGAAGTTTGACAACTCTTTCGACTTCTATTGAAGAGAGAGAGAGAGAGAGAGAGAGAGAGAGAGAGA